ATATTGAACAATGGGAACGGAGTTTTTGGTTGCAGCAACTCTGTAGAAACTCTGGATAGCAAAATGCTTAGGGAGAGAATTCGACGGACCAAAATAGGACTGGCCAACAAGGGCAAAGTGCCTTGGAACAAAGGAAGGAAACACACTGCAGGTAGTTAGAAATTACAAATGAATGAACATTGGTGCATATTTTGGTTGGTTAATTTTGAAACACTGGTATTACAAATAATGCAGAGACCAGGGAGCGAATCAAGCAAAGAACACTGGAGGCATTGAGAGACCCTAAGGTGATGTCATGTAAGAAATTTTTGCAGTTTTTGGAATATGCCCTCACTTATAGTTGTCGATAACATGACAAGCCTTATGAGTGCATGACAATTCTCTTAATTTTTTTTTATTCTTAAACACTAATGATTGTCATTTTGAAGTGTCACAGGACCTAAAGTAACAACTTTCACCCCAAACAAAACAGAAGAAAATAAAAGAAAATGCAGATATTTTTATGTCACCATCTAATTCCTTGCTTTTGATTCACCTAGTAAATGATATTCACTTTTTCCCTATCTTGACAAATTTTCAGGTTAGAAACAAGATGTCTGAACATCCTCGCACTCATAGGTAAACATGCCTGCTCTGCCATGCATCAAATCATCTGTCTGCTTGCCTGCTTAAAGAAGAAAATAATCCCATTCTGTAGAAAGGTTTGCGCTTTTCAATAGGAAAATAAAAGATAAAAACAAGTAGTTGTTTGAAATGTGCTGAAATAACATAGCCAATAAGCTTGTAACATGGCACTTCACTCTTTGTTCATTAAGTGGCTTAGAAAAGCCAATGCAACTAATTATAGTTCTCAGATTAACAGTCTATTCAGTATTTTGCAAAATGACTCTGGGCTTTTTGGTTATTGCCACTTGCCTGATTTGGAGTAACGTGTGAGCTCATTTTTCAAACAATGTGTACTTACCCTTTTAAGAATACATAGCGAGGATAGTAAATATAGCTTTTAATTTCTATCCTTGATACGACTGGATAATATCTTCTTAGTTCAAATCTAATTTGTGTTTGCAAACCTTATTAGTTGTTAGATTTTTGGAGCCCATTAAATACTCAACATTAAATTTTAATAAAGGAAAATTTATTCTAATATAATGTTTCTGCTTCATACTGATCTTTTAAATGTTCTCAGTGCACCTGATAGCTACTGGCATGATGTCTTAAGTCTCAAGTTAGCTAATGGAATTCTGCACTTACTGGTTTAGTATTTGAAATGGATCTTGGGTTGACCTTTCCGGCATTTTTCTCAATCTCTATCAATTTCTCTGCAGTGATCAAAGCAAGGCAAAAATAAGTTCTTCACTGAGACGTGTTTGGCAAAAGCGTTTGAAATCAAAGAGATTGAAGGAGCAGTTTTACCTTTCATGGGCAGAAAGCATAGCAAATGGGGCTCGGGAAGGAGGAATTGACCAAGAAGAGCTAGATTGGAATAGCTATGATAAGATAAAACAACAATTGGAGCGCCATCAGCTATTATGGGCTAAGCAAAAGGAAAAGGAAAGCAGATCGCTGTTGCCAGAGCAAAGAAATTCATGGAGTTATGGGCTATAAGCATAGCCAAAGCAGCTAGAAGTGGAGGGAAAGGTGAGCGAGAATTAGACTGGGATAGCTATGAAAAGATAGAACAAGAAATGGCTGTGCACCATCAGCTTCAGCAATCTGCTGAAAAGGCGAAGGCGAAGGAAATGGCAAGGATAAGAGCTGATAGAGCAGCACAGATAAAAGCAATAAGAAAGGTGATGCTTATGCAAAAGAAAAGGGAGCACGAAGAGAGGGCCAAGGCCCCCTGGGATATTAAGACTCAACCACATGGAAGAGCAAAGGAAGTCAAAGGTGACTTAGAGGTTCCTCTGGATTTTAAATTTGCCTCAAAACTAAAGGTAAGGATTCAAATTTCCTCATTCATGGGCCATGTGCACACGCGCGCGCGCGCAACTTTGTAAAGCCAATTGAAAATAGGAATAACATGCTCATATATATATGGAAAAATGAACGTAGTCCTGGATTGTGTTGTTTATCTGTTGAATATTAGACTTCTTCCCGGTACAAAAATGAAAGGGGATTTTTGAAGGATAAAAGTTCTGTATGTTTGTGTAGGTTAAGAAAGGAGAAGTTCAGTAACTTGATTCCTACGTCATTTAGGAACTCTTAAGTCCTCAATTAACATTTACGAAATACAGAACTGTTATTCTATGATGGTTTGGCTATGAACAAGAGAGGAAAAGATCTGTGTAAGTGGGTATATGTCTCGTGAATATCCATGGGAGGATGTACTAGTTGAGATTTTCCAGTAAAATTATGGCGCAGCAAGTTCTTTTGAATGAACTAATGTGATGGTTGGTCGGAAAAAAGTTCCTTTAACCTTAACAACCACATCTAAAGAATTTTACCCAAGTATTAGCCTATAGATATTTGTCACAGTTGTCATTTTCCGGGTCTGGTATATAAGGCTCACAAGCGCCTATCAAATAGAGCTACCATGCATACATTCATTTTAACATACCCCTTGACCCCGTTGTTCTATGTTTGCAATGTGCCTCATTACCTACAGATTCTAATGATGCTGTGTGTGTCCTGTCTTTAGTTTCGCATAAGGGAGAACACTAGTGATCAAGGGGATGGGGAAGGAAAAGATTTGAATTCCATTTTTCCAAACTCTAAGAAATTGGATCTGGAGCTTATCAAGAAGGAAAAAATGCGGAAAGAAGTTTCGCTTGCAGATCAGATCCAAGCTGCTAGGAGCAGGAAGGGCAAAATTCATTAAGGGGTCTTCTCCATACTCTGATTATCCTGTTTAAGAGGTAAGATACGTGTTTTATTTTGTATTTTGGAGATGACAGTTAATTGTGGTGAGCAAGGGTGCGGAGATTGCTAAGGCTTAACACTCATGGAAAGATTGTTTAATTTGCCTTTGCATAAGGAAGTTCACTGTTAAGGAGAGCGTTTTTAAAGTTTGAATTTGCTCAGTTTTGGCTCGGTCATTCTCAAAGGAAAATGGAGAGTTCAGTCCCCCCCCCCCCTCCCATATTTATATTAAGATAGATTGAATGTTCTATTTGCTAGATATGCAATGAGATATGCGTGTAGATAAAATGCTATTTATTATAACAATTCAAGACTATTCTACAACTACAAGTCTACCGTCGCACTCATCTAGACTTGAAAATAGTCATCTCTCTCCCTCTCTCTCTCTCACACTCGCTCACACACACACACACACTGAGCTCCTGTGTGGAAGATCAAAATCAAAGTATCAAGACTCCATCCATATTTCATAGGTAAGCAACATTATTCAGTTATTCTGTTGTGCTTAATGGATCAATGTATAATTGCCCTGAGCAACTGTCCAACCAAGGGACTGGTTACAATAGCTAAAATTGGCTTCAGCCGAAAGAAAAGGTTCTTTTTTTTTTAAAAAAAAAATGGTTCTATGTACAGTAAGTTATTTTAATTTTAATTAGTAAGTTATAATCTAATATTTGTGCCAACAGCTTGTAATTACGTTGCTGGCAAAAAAGGAAAAAGGTATCCCACATCCCTTGCATAGGGCAGGATATGGGTTCTATCTCCTATGCGGTATAAATGGGGTAAAAGGAAGGGTTGTAGGCAAAAAAACTAATATTTGTTTTTTTCCCAAAAAAAAAGAAAGAAAGAAAAGAAATTTGCCAACTGTACGATACTACTATCTTGATTGATTCCAAGGGCCCTAATATATATTTTTTTAAAAAAAAGATGATGATCCAAAATTTTTTGATGAGAAAAATTATGTTAGAAAAATGACAATTTATTTAGGAATGATAATATGATCCTTAGCTTTTTGTTATTTCTATTAGTTGAGTTGGTGAGATCAAGTTGGATGGCAAAGTAAGGTGTGTTAAATGAGTTACGTTCAAGCAGATAACCTTACCATTTGGTATAAATTTGTTGGATAAAACGATCTGCACTACATTTCCATGGATAAGGATGGATAGCGGCGAGCTTCAGTGACAATCTGGTTGAACTTGTTCGCATATGTTTGTTCTTTTCTGTTTCATTTGTTAAGCTGCCTCTCAGCCGATCCTCAACAGTAGCCCCAAAAAAAAAAAGTGTTATATATGTGGGAGGACAATTATATAGAATACGAAAGGAATTAGCCTCTCATGAATCAATATTCCAATTTTGCCAACAGAAATATTTATTTAGTGCTCGACAAAAGTTTGAGCACAGAGATATGATTTAAACAGAAGAAGATTGGGAAGAGTCATTGAAAATCAAATCGCTTAACAAACTAATTACGACAACGGTCCAAAAGTCAGTGGTGGAGTTAAATCTTCATATATAATTACGAAAAGAGCAATATTTAGATAGAAAAGATGTTAATTCATAAGTAAATGGAATATTCATATGTAAACCAACATAGTTCAATAAAAAAGAGTTGATAAAACACACACAAATAGACTTCTTTTTTTTTTTTCACTCAAAGTGATGTCATTTGAAGATCAATAATGGAAGAATATATATTGACCAGGCTAAAACCTTTAGCTGAATTGATAAAAAAACTGGTTTGCTGGAGTAACCTGTCAAATCAGGCTGGGCTTTCATCTCATGGTCGAGATTAAATGGGGTATATAATACAAAGTGTTCATAAATTCTTGTGAGATAAAAATGCATCACACACATTATTGTTACACAAGATAAAGTCAAATATTTTACCACAAATTCTTGCGAGATGAAAATAGATCACGCATATTATTGCCAGCAGCTTCTTATCATATGATTCATCAAGTAAAGCCAACTATCTTACCATTTAAAAGTTCTAGACCTTATTTTATGCATCAAAACGTAAATAAGTCATCAACGCAAGGGCGGCACGTCATTTTCATATAATTTGTTGGTTGCATTTTTTTTTTGTAGGCACAAGTATTTTTCTGTTAAAGACAATTTTGTTCAAGGCACTGTCGGGCACAAAAGATGGATACCTCTCCCAGCAAAATTTGATTCATTACATTATAAGGGACTAGCTTTTTTCCCAATCTCTGTTGGTCATGATTTTTTTTTTTTTGAGTAAAACATAGGTATCTTCTTATTAGAAATAATCCTATTCAAGACACTATCAGGTACTAAATGTAAGCACCTTTCCCAATGGAAATTCAAATCTTAGTTTATCATGTTATGAGAAACTAGTTCTTTCTACTAGACCCAATCCTGTTAATGGTCGTGAATTTATTTCTGTGAGATTCTAGACTAGATAAGATAAGATATTTGGTGAAGCCCAATCAGGCCTAAGAAAAATAGAAGTTCTCAGTTAGCTGATCAGTTGGCCCAGGATGAAAGAAGACCCGAGGCCCATTGTGGCTAACTGTCAATAACGGATATTGGAACTTTCTAGTTCATTAATTCCTTAATGGAGATTCTTTCTTCATCTCTCTCGTTCAGTACAGCAGCGTCACTTCACATGTCCCATGAATCAAATCCCAAACTCTCACCGCTCACTCATCCTCATTTCCCCTTCATAGGGCCTGGTCTTCTTGTTCTGGGGTTTCTATGAGTCATGTCTTCCTCCCCCAAGTCCTTCCACGGCCGTACACCTCCATTGTCGTCTCGTAGATCCGCGCTCCTTCTCATCTCCTCCCTTTTGATTGCCGTCTCAGGTTTTGTTTTTGGAATTACCGCCTTTTTAAGGCCGATTCAGGGGTATAAATGCTTGAATAGTCACCCCAGATCGATTCGAGTAACTTGGGAACACAGTGGTGGAGGTGGTGACGGCGCCGGTGGTGATGGCAATGGGAATGGCGGGCCCGGAAGTAGGCATAAAGTTATGGGATTTGTGGGTATTCAGACTGGGTTTGGATCTGCGGGTAGGCGTCAAGCATTGAGGAAGACTTGGATGCCTCCGGATCGGCAAGGGCTCGAACGGTATGCTATAGATCTTTCATTGCGTTGGAAGTTCATTTTTCCTGTTACATTCGGATCTCACCATAATAAACTCCACTTAACCTTGGGCTTTTAAAGAAAAATGAATGATTTGAGAATCTGACTGAAACAACTTTTTTTTTTTCAATTATATTTTTTAAGGCTTTGGAAAATGCTGTTGGCTGCATATTAAATGAAAATTTCGCTCGTTCAATGTTCTATTCTGTATTATATGAGCTAATATAGACTCTATTCAGCATCTAGATGTAGTATCACGCAGTGCGTCTATGGCATATGAAGTGCATTTGTTTTCTGTTGGAGAATTGGACATAATGAGAGAATCTGGATTCAAAAATGGTGTAAATTTGCAGAAAGCCTCAAGTCGCATCGGCTGACAAAAGTAAATGTCCAAGTTTATTCTAAATCCGTTAGTGAATCTTATTACTGAACCACTAATACGCATCGGCTGACAACTTGTCCCCTTTCTTTTTCATTTGGGGGAGGAGGGATTGAATTTGATATGATAATAGTGTAATTCAAGGAAATTTCACCCCCGCAGCTGCATGTGCTGTTTTTGCTTTTATAGGCTAGTTGTTGGTTTAGATGTTCTGATGGAATCTGGGCTTGAAAATCTGTCAATTAGTGTTTTTGTCCTCAGT